GAATAAACATGATATTACCATGACCTACTGACAACCTTTTATAATTCTTGTATTTGTTTTCAGTTCTTATTCCACCAGCACTGCCGACAATGGGATTATGTTTTAGCAGTCGCTAATGCCTAATTTACATGAATGAAGTAGAATTAAGAACATAATCCTCGGCCTCTTTTCACTCTTCATCATCCATCCCTCTTAATATGTAACCGACGTTCGTGTTCCATCCGCTAATTAACATGGCCGCTCACTCCTGTAGCTTATATTGGAAAAGTGACTTCATCGTGGGGTTTTTTTATATTTGTTTTTTTTTTTGTAAATACTGATGTCACATATTCTGAGCAGCCCGGAAGGTGTGTTTCTCTTGGAGCTTCCACGTCTGAATCTTTGTGTTGTGCCCGCGGGGCTTCTCTTTCTCCACGTTTTGTCATTTGTCATCAGCCAGAGCGTTGGAGTGTGTGAAGTGCTTACGGCGTGAGACGAGCTTTAACGCCTGTCTGAGTGTTTCCCCTCATTTGTTGTCAAGTTGACTCACACATTGTTGAGTCTCCTCAGATAGATAGATGACAGATAGTCGGGTAATGATGGTGTCCTGACAGCCATATCCAAGCAGAGAGTCGAAGAGACAGTGCTTGATAAATTGGAGACTACCTGTCATTGAGATGATGAGAGCGGCAAGTGTCACGACTCTTTCAATTTCACTCAGGTTTTTATGAATGACTTTTTTTGAACGGGATTAAAACTACCTTCCTACCAACAGTATCCGTTAAGCGCTATAATTTAACAACCTGCCATTAGTTTTCTAGCCAGCTACAAATCCGATTCCAACCGTTCTCCTATTTTACGCTTCATAACACATTTCGATAGTCTCCAGGTCTGGACTGCAGGCATGTCAGTTTACTACCTGCACTCTTTTACTACTAAGACACGCTGTTCTAACACATGCAGAATATGGTTTGGCATTGTATTGCTGATTGAAGCAGTAGGGCGTCCATGAAAAAGGCGTTAACCTGGATGGTACCTTTCAGCATTAATGGTGCATTCACAGATGTGTAAGTTACCCATTCCGTCATCTCCAGACTGCCAATTGTGCACCTTATAATATATACTTCTTAAGTTTGCGAACTTATCTTCCAGGCGACTGTGAATTTGCATTCAGTCACTCGTCTGGTTGAGTTGATGAAGAGATTAAAAGAGAATTTGCAATGCGAGCGCAGCTCACTTGAAGGATTTCTCATCACTCATTAATAATTAGAACCGCTCCACATTACATCTCGCAGTTTGGCAAACATGCTTTTCAAGATGTGAGACACCTCCGTGCTCCATTACAGGCATCCTCCTTGGTTTTGATGTAGAAAATGCAATCTTAACAAGGCAATAATAAAGAGCATTAAAACTCTGATGTAATACTGTGTATCATAGATCGTAATTAGTACGACTTGAAGTTCACTCCCAATCAAATGTTTTATGTAGCCTAAAAGCTTCAGACGACTATTTTCTCAAGAGGCCAACAGGTCATGGAGAGAAGTGTTGTACGGTTCATGGTGAACGTTTGAAAAGCCTCCTGGCTGGTCAATAGGTCTGCTCTACGAATAAAATATATATTTACCCTTAGTAGGTCATGTCAGTCGCCGATGGACTTGAGTCGGAGTTAGGAAAGCGCGGCCACGAGGAGTGCAGGGCCTTTGACTGTAAGGGAAGTCAGATTCAATGTCTGGCGAGAGAGAAGGAGAGAGAATCAATCTCAACTCGACTCTCGTGTCGTCTCAGAACACGTTTCGCCTCTCATCTGCGTAGGCCACATCAGTTCATGCAACAGGCTAATTAGGACAGCACTAGTGGTGTCCGTAGGAAACCCAACAATTTATTCTTCAGGTTAGAGGTATGCCCCTAAAGCCTTAAGTGTGCAAGTGCGGCGTAGGTGTGTGTGTGTGTGTGTGTGCGTGTGTGTGACCATATCTGCATGCTATCACTCCATGTGAAACCTCATCAAGAGATGATAGCAGCAGCGATGTGGAGCTGAACCAAATGTGTCAGTGCCATATGCCCGCTGGAATTCACTGACAGCACAGGCCTGGCTTGGAACTCAGCATGTTGATTCGATGTAGTGTGTGTGTGTGTGTGTGTTTGCATACAATACTGCGTCTATTTCCGAGCGTGCCGGCGTACTCGCGGCACATTTTCTTGCTCGGAGGGACAGAGAAGTGGTGAAGGCGCAGAAGTTATCATGCGGGCGGAAGGTAAACCAAGGTGCTGGCATACTGTCAGGTTTTATTTATTAGCTGTGGTCTTGGCATGGCAAGTGTGTGTCCGGATGGATGTTAGTTAGCGTGTATGCTGTGCAAGTGTGAGTCCGTGCCCATCTTCAGAGGATTTGTTGGGCCAGCAGATGTTCTAATTTGGAGTTCAGATTGTGGAATATTCAGCCAGGCAGCAAAGTTGGATGACTCACTACTGGTTCAGTTGTGCGCTCCAGAATTTTGCAAATATGCAGTCCTTAAACCAGCTTAACTAAGCATCATGACATTTGGTCAGCATGTCTATCATGAGTAGACACACAAAACAGTCTCAAGATGCCATACCTGAATAGATACAGGAAGTCAGACATCTTGGTTTGAGGCGGCAATTCTACGGTCAATTTGGCCTGCTCAAAGCCACATTTGTCAAATTCATATCAAGACAGTCGTGCACCCTGTTTTTTTTTTTTTTTTTCTTAAGCATCTGAAGGCTTGTTCACTGAGCACCATGAAATTTGTTACCCATATGTTACTCAGTCTGTCTCCCTCTATTGGTCATTGTTATTTTTCATATTTCTTGGATGGCGGGCTGTGACTGTGAAGACAATTTCCTTGTGCGTTTTATTCCATACTTGACCAATAAAGATGATGATGATTCTGGAGACAAAAACAGCAGTTCAGTTGCCCTGAAAAAGAAATGACTTAGGTGAGCGAGAATATCCGCAACCATCATTTTAGGGGACACGTCAGTTAGCCTGCTCGTGAATATTCGAGATCAAGTTGACGAGTCTTATATTGTGGGACCACGTTTCTCTGATCTGTCACCTTCCTTGACTTTTTTGGCTTGATCGGGTTAATTATTGTCCTGACTGTACTTGCTCTCAACCAGCACACGCACACTCACACAAAACATGCGCTGGAATGGGAATGACCTTGTCTCTCTACACGCCGCCCCGCCTCGCTGCACTTCAAATGCATTTCGTCTGGAAAAACCTTTAAATAGCCCGGGCCTTTGACTCCACAACACCCACGACCAGATAACTTGTCGGCCACACATCTGGTTTGCTGTCTAAAGGACAACATGACATCAGTTAAGGGAAAAGGTGCACATCCATTTCCCATTGATGGCCAACGATAATCTGATAAATATATATATATATTAGTCAGAGGATATAAATTCATGTCAAATGTTTTCTTTCGTGATGGATGTTCCTGCGAAGTCATGTGTTCCAGCAGGTGCAGCATTGCTATGTCAGATCATGTGTTGTACATGTGTGTTTGCATGAGATGGGGACGGGTGGGGGGGGGAGGGTGGCTACTTTATGTCACACAAGTGCCGCTCACAAACTTCTCCCCGTGTTTGGGGGTTGGATCAGAACCCTGCTAAAATAAACAGCGTTGACCAGCATGGTTTTGTTGTGTTTTCATGCTGGTCTGACACCAGCAAGACTAGCAGCAAAAGCAAAATAAAACTGCCAAGATTCAAACACTCAAACCTTGCTCTACCAACTGAGCCACCTAGCAAGACCAACAAGTTGTCGTTACCCTGCTGGTAGTTGGTGACACCAGCAAGATTCCAGCTGGTCACCAGCTATCTCCAGCTCCTGGCAGGGCCCCAGCAACAGGCTGCCCGTGTTGGACAGCTATTGCTCAGTTTATAGAGTAGGTTGCCCAGTGACCGAAGGTTTGGTTGTTCGAGCCTTTGTTGTTTTGTTTTGCTTTTCCTACTGGTTTTGCTGGTGACATCAGCATGAAAACACAACAAAACAATGCTGGTCTGTTCGTAGCGTCAAGAAGACATGGCTGAAAAGAGACAGGATGTCTGCCATTTTGGTTAGAAGCTAACATTTTAGCGTTAATTTCACCCTTTACAGGGGTCCTTCAAAGTTGAATTTGTCCCATTGCTACTAAATTTCAATTATCAATGCTTGACAAATGTAATTCCAAGATGTGAATTTTTTCTGCGTCGGTGTGGTACGGTCGAGAAATTTGATGACTTGCCATCGGTTCAGAAGTGCACCCGAGCATTTTAAAGCCTCTGAAGCCAGTTTCACTTCGCAACATAACATTTGTCAGCGATGAGTAGACTCATAAAAAAGTCTCAGAAACCATCACGAAAACACAAATCTAACCTACATAAAATTAATGCTATCTATATGACTCGAAGACAAGAATTCTACAGGGGGTTCTCCAATTTATTTATTTTTTTCAAGCTATAGGCCAACACACCGTCAATTTAAAAAAAACTTATTTCTAATCCGACAGTTTGTTTTTTCTAACATTGTTCAGTTTGGTGTTCTTGAGACACACCAATCCAAAAGCACGCAGCTCAGTTAGCACAGGTTAACACTACAAGCTAATGCTACAACTGATAAACAATACTGGACACTTAATAATGCCTTTGTGCATCCTCATATAAGGAAGGGACTTTATCATGATGTCATGGCATTGCCTCATTGATTGCTTGATGCCACCTTCACAGCAACAAGGTTTCTTTTATGACTTACTTTGATGTATTAACTAGCGGTAATAGTGGTCGGCCATGTTGTTTATCTGTCTTTGAATACCGTAAAGGCCCAGTCCTGCTCCAGCCAGTATTTTGTGCTGAGTCCACACAGGCTATACACTGGCGAGGACAGTGGGGTGAGTGGGCGTGGGTGGGCCTATTGTCGTCCCAGTTGTGGTCGGTCTGTTTGATTTGTCATCGTGTTGAGACCAGGGGCGAACTTTGCTCACCTCTTCCCCTGTCTTATTTTTCTTTGGTTTCAGCCATAACCAGAGAAGCACCACCTTTCGTCATCCCGTGACCGGGCAGGTTTCTCCGGAGAGTATCGATTTCTTCCTTCAAGAACAGTGAGTGATGCTTTGTTGTTTGTTTTTATGCTGAGGCTGACTGCTCTTTAAATTCATATTGCCTAATTTGTCCGTAGCGCCCAGAGTGTTTTTTTTTTTTTTTTTGGTATTTTGTTTGTCATTGTCACTTTGATCTCTCTATGTTTTTTTTTCTAAATAAAGAGACAAAGTAGGAAAGGTTTGTTGGTCAAGGACGAGTCGTTCTACTGCTGGAGTGCTCTCATTACTTGAAATCAGGAAGCTGTTAAAAGCCCATTCTAGCTTTCTGTCTCCACATTGTAAATAGTGGCCAAAGTAATTTTTTTGGGGCTTTCTTTTTTTGAAGGAACACTTTAAGGCTGGTGTTGAATGCATATTTTTGACAGTTTGGTCACCGAGAGTTAGAGGAGGAGCTCAGTGTAGCCCTCGGTAAAAAATTAGCAAACAGTTTCGCATAGGTGAGCATAGTGCAATGACTAAAGTCTAAAATCTGCTGCCACCTCCTCTATTTGAATTTGTGTTCCAGGGTTTGAAAATGAAATTTCAACCATGACAGAAAAACTATATTTAGCCCGCAAAATTATAATTTTTATTTTATTTAGTAGGATAAATTTTAAATGACATTTTATAGCTTAATATTAGACTACACAAGTTTAATTTTATTTTGTTAAATTTAAATAAAATTTCAGAGGCACATATTTAATTAAAATGCATAAATTTATTGTAATTCTATGAAATGTAATCACATTTTTAATATTTAGCCTTGAAGGTTAAGGTTGGGTTCAGCCATGTTTCATATTTCGCTGTCTTGTGCGTTGACGTCAAGCGTGACACAGCTAAACACTTGAGCTTCGTGCATAAGTGTTGAATGCACTTTCAAGAACTTTAATCAACGCCACATGTTATCATTAATTTTGACCAATTTGACCAAAATAAATGGAATGCAGGAGCAGGAAGTAGTGGCGTCTAGGCCGCTTCCAAAATAAGAGACCACGATAAGGTGTTCTCCACATTGTTAAGTCCTGAACGCTTGAGCCACTCCACGCTTTTGTGATAACCCTTCTGAAAATGGCCAACGCACACTCACGCGCACATGCACGCTCACGCAGGTGGGCTCACATCAAGCTTTCAGATGCAGTTTCCACTCAGCAATGACAACCTGTGAGCTGTCAAGAGTTGACATGATATAATAAAAAAATTTAAAAAATAATCAACAAGTGCAGACTATGCTCGAGTAATTTGTGTGATGTGACTTAGGTGATTTTATTGAGTATGGAGCCATGAACATTTTATTTTATTTAATTTGAAGTAATTTGTGTTTTGTTGTGAATTTCATTGAACTTAATTAAATGTATTTTCAACTCTGATGTAATGTAACTGAAATTCATCTCTTAATTAGCACTAAAAATGTTTATAATTTAATTCCATTGGCCATTAAAATGAAATTGAGTTAGATTTGATTTGTAGGCCTGAAAATATAATTTAAGTTGATTTAACATTTATGCCTGAAAAGGTCATTTGAATTCATTTATTATTTACCCCTGAAAGTGAAACTCAATTTAATTTAATATGCCCACCGACTGAAATGTATTTTATTGTATATTTATTCCTGGATGGACGGATACTAAAAGATACTTTATATGATATGATTCATCCATTTTGAACACCGCTTCAGGGTCCGGGAGGGTGGTAGGGGGTAGTTGGGGCGGAGGTGGGGGGGGGGAGGGGTGCTGTAGCCTATCCCAGCTGACCTCAGGGGCAAGGCAGACTACATCCTCAATTGGTCAGCCGCATGGCACATATAGACACACATACACACACAGAAAATGGCACTGTATTCACCATCGCATCACGATCACAGCGGCTTGGACCAAGCCTGCTTGACGCCCACGCTGCTGCCGCTAATAAGACCGATCCATCAGCAGCCAGAGCAAGGGAACAATCTAACCTGCTGGCTGGTCACACATACGCGTGCGCGCACACACGCTTGCTCACTCGCTCGCTCAAGAGAAGTAGAGAGATGTTTAATGAGGAACAAGAGGGGCATGAGAGCAACCAAGTGAGACAGTGATGGAAGCGACATGTCATAAAGCATAAACTTTATTTTCTTCCTGAAGAGAAACATGTGTAGAAATCATCTTAAAATTATAGCGAATTCTAGCCAAAGCAAGAACTCTGTTGCTTTTGAATGAGATTAATGTCACCATGCTGGTTTTTGACTGTGGATGATTTCTAGTCATCGGCTGCTGATGTTATTCGTTACGCCGTCAAAATGGTGTTTTGCATTGGTTGATAGCGATAAGCTCAACTGACTTTTCACTGATGGCGAGCAATAAGAAACTCATTTCGCTGATCGCGTAGTGTTACACTCGCATTACTTGTGTGCATGCAGAGGGGCGTCGGGTCATTTCCCACTCAGGGACGGTGTGAATGTGAGCGGCTGTTCGTCTCAAATATGTGCCCTCTTGAGTGACGGTTCAGTTACCCGAACATGCAGCGTACAGTTTTAACTGCATCCTGTTAATTTTGGTTGTCCGCGATGCCGGTTATCCTTCATAGATAAAGTATGAGAGCAGCGATTACAGCAGTCGTAAAAAGTACATTGCACACATACTTTGTGCATGATGTGGACTTGTTCAAGTGTCCTCTGAATGTGCACGGTGACGTTAACCGGGAATAACTGGCGAGAGGAGCTTATTCATTTTATGATGTTCCCTTGCTTGCAGTGGACATTTTGGACTGGATTATATTGAGTACACGCGTTCAGTTCTACAAAAAAAAAAGCTTGAGATTTTTTCTTTATCTTTAGCTGATTTTTTTTTTTTTTTGCTCCACCTCCAGTATTGGCTGTGATTCGACCTTATTAAGTGTGCCGTGGGTGTATGCCTGCTTTCAAATGTGCACAAAAGCACAGACAGGAAGTATAACAATCCCAACAAAGGAAATGTGCACTATAAGTGTGAATGGCACAAACAAACAAAAAAAGCAGACACAGTATGGGACTGATGTAGACCCGTTGATTTTGATATTTATATATTCAACATTTCCTTGAGAAATGTAGCTTTGTAAGCGAGGAGACGTGTTAAAAATTCCCAGGCAGCGATAATGTGGTTTGTCTCGGGAGTGGATGTTTTTTTTTTTCCCCTTGAAAATGCCGTTCCGGTGAATGTGTGACGCCCGCCTGCCACTCGCCTCCCTCGCAGACCAATTCAGACTTTCTTCAGTCTTGCCTCATTTCCTTCAGGGTGAATTTTCTATCTCTATTGTTTGAATGATGCCAGACTGTAGAAGTGTGTGTGTTTGTGTGTGTTTTTGGACTCAAGAGTCCAATGGTCGTCTTCTAAAAATCTGTGCAATTAAATCAATGTAAATTGGAATGATATAATGTAAGGACTATGCAATGTGTGATCAATACTGTTTGAAACACACTTCTTGAAAGCAAACCAGTAATGTACTGGAACATTAATGGCTAGATTAGAGGTGCATAGACATAAAATATGGTCCTTTGCAATATTAGAGAGTGGTGTTTATTTTTTCTGCTCTGTGGGAGCAACGCTGATGACCGTATTTTCCACACTAAAAGGCGCACTGGATTATGAGGTGCACCTTCAATGAATGGCCTATTTTGTAATTTTTTTCATACATTGGGCACACCACGTTATAAGACGCAATCTCCAATGCATTCACTAGATGGAGCTACGCTCAAGTAAACACCAACAGAACGATTAGATGTCAGTAAAACATATTTAATAAAGCGGCGACACAGTTCACTTAACCAACAGCAAGTTATAACATTGACTCGTTAACGGTGAACTCTCTTGCCGCTGCTCTCTTTCCGTGTTCAACTGCGTAACCGATCGCCTTAAGTTTGAACTCTGTGTTGTCAGCATGTCTCGAGCAAGGAGCCATTTTGGGATCGAAATATTACCGTAGTGACCATACACAAGGCGCGTCGGATTTTATGGCGCGCTGTGAGCTTTTCAGAAAATGGAAGGCTTTTAGGTGCGCTTTTTAGTGCGGAAAATACGGTATTGGAGTTCAGTTGGGAACCTTCACTGCATCTCTTCCAGTAGATGTCACATTGAAGGTGCCTATGTCTAAATCCGGGTATGAAAAATTGTATGTTTGTGTTTGCAGGCTGCCGGGTCCTCGCGTCATGTCCCAACCTGGCGTCGAGCAGCTCTCCAGCACCACCGTCAGCGATGTCTCCACCGTCACCACCTCCTCCGCTGTGGACGCTGCCGCCAGCTCCAAGGTCAGTGCGAGGACTGATGCATTTCAGCCAGCAGAGGGTGCAATTTCCCTCGGAGGGCCGTTACGACAGTGAACCCGAATAAATTTTTAATCATTTACATCATATTATTACTTGTTCTCACACACACACACACACACACACACACACACACACACACACACAAAATGATGGCTCACCACGTTTTAAATCAGTCAAGTATTTGTTCAATTATTGTTCAAGTGAGTGTAAACCGTGTCACAAAATTATTGCAAAATGTTACTTATTACATATGACAATTTGAGATTTCGGTACACATTTAAGCAAGAGTCATGGAAGTTCTCACATATGATTTGTTTTTGCCGGCCACATAAAATTAGGTGGCGGGCCGGATCTGGCCCCCGGGCCTTGATTTTGACACCTGTGCTCTAAAGGCTAGCAGGGTGCTTTAAATCAATGTGGCCTTTTCAGGTTTGCTGTTGATGTCATTGAAGTCCGTATTTGCTTTTTGAAAAGAGGCTGGCACGAAAATGATTTTTTTACCCTTCCTGTCTCCTCTCTGACCTTCCCATAAAATTCTCGAACATTATTATAGGACAATACCTTTGCCAACACGGGGAGTTGGCGTTGCTCATAGTGCTGCAGTGCGTCATCAGTTTTAGTTTCACATAGGACCATGCACTTCCTAACCAGATGTATGACAAAAATGCGATTTTTAAATATGGACAACATGGAATGGCATGCTCTTCATTTTCATTGCGCATTACGTCGCAACGAAATTTGACTTTGAAAATTCTTTATCCTTTAAATATATGTTAAATATATTTCATTTTTCGTAATCCATTTCTCAACGCGCATATGGAAGATCTGCTATTCAACAACAAAAGGTTTGACGCAAACGACAAAAGAACCCCGCACTTTGATTTGGAACGTGCTCGAAAGGGTGTTCGAATATGAAACCTCTGTAAGGCAGCTGTGCTAACCGCTAGGCCACCACGCTGCCACTATTTCGTTACAGAAAACATTGGTGTAGAATGCAAAAGACGATTCCAAAACTGCTGATGTGTGCCTCATTTGCTTTTGTGCGTGAGCCGAGTGGATGCGCGCATCCACAGGCGCGAGAAGTGATGAAAAGACACAATAGCGCCTGCTTGATTGTTACTCTTTTGGCTCTTTTGTGTCTTTGGCCTCGCAGCCATCGCAGCTGTTGCCAACGTGATCAAAAATGAGAAAGCGCTCCAAGACTTTCACGTCATTTCACTCGACGAAATCAAAGCCAACTTGCTTGTTGTTCTGCACCCCTGTCAAGTATTTCCTTCTATTCAGCACTCGCTTTTCACTTTGTGACATTTCGTCAGTGTGTTCACCACATCTTTTTTTTCAGATTTCTTTCGTGCTCTTTCTTTTTTTTCCCCCCTTCTCCATTTGTTTTCGATTTGCTTTTTTGCTTTTTGCTTAGTTTTACGAATTCCACTTGTTGCTTATTGTTATTCCTTGTCACCCTTTCTGCATGTCTTCTTAAAAAGTCAACATTTCAGCCTACAAGAACTCTTTCAAGATGTCACTTTTTTTTCCATTTTCTTGTCTCATCTTTGTGGCTGTCGTCCTTTTGCCATTTTTTAGCTACTCATTCATTGGCTTCTCCTCCACGGGCTCATTTATTTTTCAGTCTGTTATCTCTCTCTTTTTTTTCTCACATTTAAGTTTTGCCCCTCGGTACTCATTTCTTTTCGACACTATTCCTCCTGACGACTATACTATCTCGTTTTCACACGTCGCTGACTTTGTCCTCTGTAAATTGCTTGATTTGTTGATGACTCATGCTTCCTTTTTTTCTTTTTTTAATGGTAAACCTTTTTTCCATTCTTGTCTTCACCACTGTTTTTTTGGGGGGGTGGGGCACTGCATTTGCTCCTCATTTGTTCTTTTCACTTTCCCCTTCTGCTATTCTTTGTATTCCCCACTTGTTTTTTTTTTTTTGTCTGAGAATTACTGTCCTTTGCTACTTTTCTCTTATTGCTATTCATCACCACCTTTACGGCGCTTGCTTTTTCACTCTGCTGCCTCTTTCTCTACACCACATATTTTTAAGTCAACTTTTCTTGTTTGTTGCCCACTTTAAGACACATCTTCCCACTTTTCCTTGTCCTTTATATTCTGATCTGATCTTTTCATCTCATATTGCCAGAATAGCGAGTTGGGAGGAGGTAGAAATATTTTGGGGACATGAAGCAATGCTTTTCAATCTCTTCATTTCATGGGGTCATCAACAAAAGGTGATGTCACGTCTGCGGATCGAAATTCAGTCCATTAGTTTGCATTTTCTCCCTATACTGGCTTGTGTTTTCTCCGTGGACTTGCTCCTTAATTGACGACTCCAAATTGACTAATTTGTCCCTAGGTGTATATTTTGAGGAAGAAAATACACATGCTTGCATGCACTTTGGTGTGACTTCCTGTCCGATCACCAGGTGCACCAGCCCTAAAATTGAACATGTGCCATGGGTTGCGACGGCTCAGTGACGGGGCATTCATCAAGACGCCCCGCCATCGTAACCGTGCCCTCTGTTTGCCCCGTCTGTCGCTTCCGCCCCAGGTGCTCTGGCTCATCACCACCCCTGCCACAGAATATCGGGGGAAATTTAGCTGTCTCATAGTGACAAGATTTTCAGAGGAAAAACGAGCCGTCCTCCTCTGTGTGGCACGCTGCCGTGGCAGAAATGAATCACATTCATTCCACATCTGACATAAACATCAGAGCCCGCTCGCAGACCCGCGTTGTCGCACATTCCACCTCGAATGATGTTTCACGATTCTGCCCCCTTGAGCTCTTATTTTCTCTGCAGCGTAATTCATGTTGTTCACGAGCTGCCAGCGTCACCTCGATGGGAAGCATCAAAGCTAGCGAGCGCCATTTAGAAATTCCTGCTGTGCACCGATTAATCCCTCTGTTGCGAGTTCTGTACTTTGAAGGCATCACTAGATGATTAGACTTTATTTTGTCAAACAATTGAGTTGACACTTTGAATTCTTCCACTGGTTGTGAAGAAATCACTTTAAAAAAATGCACTTGACGATTTGTGCTATTATATATAGTTTGTTATGAACAAAATGGTTACTCAACCATCGATGAATCATTTAATCTTGACACCAAAAAGTCTGAAAAATTAAAGATTCCGAGCCGATTTAACACATTTGAACAACCTAGTTTTGGCAATGTACAATGGTGGCAAAAAAAGTTTATGCAAAATGGCTGCCTCAATCCAAAATGGCTCACTTCCTGTTAAAAATAATGGGCCCTGTTATGCCAGATATTCCAACCAATTTTATGTAGATTTGTGTAACTGGTATATGAACCCAGAAAACCAAAACTCTCAAATCGGGGTTGGGGTTCAGAGCTCATGACATAGAATTTTTACATGACATCACAAAAACTGGTGCATTTCGGCCATGTTGAGCTTCCTCCAAAATGTGACTCCTAAGCAAGCCTGACTGACTTTCTCTAATTCCCGCTTTCAAAAAGCATAAACTTGCTCTTTGTTATAAATGAGTAAATAGATGTAAATAAGATGTTTTTTTCCACGCATTCCGCCCACCAAAAAACATTTTCGCATCACCGTCCTTATGTTTCTTTTATGTTAGTCTAGACGGCTAAGACTTCAAAGTTTGTTGTGGGTTGGCTGGCATTGCTCCATGAATGCATAAAACGGACTTGAAAAGCACACCTGAGCCGGCCTCGTCCTCCCGAATCAGGGGAAGATTATTTTTTTTTGTATTTTCAATGAGCAACTCGGGGCAAGTCATGTTTCAAAAGGTTGGCGCAGCAAAGAACATTGGCACTTGAAATAAGTGGAGAGCGTCTGATTTTTGCATCGACTGCTGAAGATGGTAACAAATAGCTATCTCAATTATTTGGTATTATCTTTGTTTTAGACTCGGAAGAAAAAGTATGCCATTTGAAGATCCATGCTTTTTATTGGACAGTGACAGTCTATAGGAGTAAGCCCCAGTTTGGACATTTCCATTTGAGCTGCAGTCTTGTTGCCAGCGCTTTCGACATTAATGGGTGGGTGTTATTTTTAGAGGACAGTGAATTTACTTTGTTATCCTAGCTGTACACTGTATTACCAAAAGTGTCATTTATTCAGTCTTGTACCATGAACAGACAGTTGTAATAGAACCATTTGTAGTTTTATCACTTCTTCCGTACACTAAAAAGTTAAATTGGCTCATGAGTTATTTTAACGGAGCCCATTTCGCTGTAATTCTCAATACTTGGGGTATTTTGAGAAAAGCTGACAAGAGTTACAGAAATGTTTGGGGACTGTTTCAAAAGTGTGGGGTAAAAATGCATAATATGTGATATTTGAAAGACTTAAGAGTATTTGGATTGATGTGACCGCCACCCTACTCTTTCTAAGAACACATTTTCTCACCTGCAAGCATGTGTGTCACAGCACATTTATTCCCAGCTGAAAACGGGACAGCAAACACGTATTGCATCGTGTTTACGCAGTGTGTGTGTGTGTGTTTGTGTGTGTGTGTACAGGATAATATGTGTGCTTTTGCATCATGCCTGGCCAACCAACCACCCCCATATTAGTTACTTGTTGCTGTGGAAAACTCCCACTGCGGCTCTTGTGTAGCGTCACCCTCAATCATACAGTCTAATGTGTGTGTGTGTGTGTGTGTGTGTGTGTGTGTGTGTGTGTGTACGTACGTATACGGGTACATTGAGTGCCTGAAGCTTGCTTTCTGCTGAGATATGAGACCAGAAGATTGTATAATGAGATTTGTTGAATGCGTGCACAGCGGTCAAGACCGGTTCTTCCTGGCATACACACACACACACACACACACACACACACACACACACACACACACACACAAGCAGTGATAAAACAGATCATGGTTTGCCGAATTGATTTGTACGCCTGGAATGGAGGATGACCTGATTGGGATTCCAGTGAATTCTTTTTTTAGCTGTATAAATTTAAAAATGTGTTAACCACTGTCATTTTAAAATGTAAAAAAAAAAAAAAAAAAGAAAAGAAAAAAGAAAAAAATTTGCTCAACTTTAACAACATTGGCGACTTGCGACGCAGACACGCCTCACGTCTTCATATTAAAACGTAGAACAGATAAAGTCCTGACGAATGATCACACGTGACGATCGGTATTCTCTTCACATTACTTTCTGCATATATTTGTTTCGTCGTTTCAAAAAAGCCAAAGAAAAAGCTGAACGCATGTCTCGTTGATTCCTTGACCTTCGCTTAAGTAAAGAAAAAGATTTGCTCCAACTCCCCGAATCGTGCGACCTGGCACACATTCTGTCTGGCTTGTGCTTTACTTCAGATGCGTTCTGCTTTCTACACATTGTCGTAGTGTGGCCTGCCTGCAGGTCACATTAAAGGCTCTTGTAACCTCCCACTCAGTAATAGCCGATTGAGTTCTGTGGTTGCCGCTGGTCTCATGCTTCTGCGCTTATGTAACGAGAACAAGGAAGGCTGCCTGAAAAAGATCACCTGGTGTGTGGGCGAAGGTCCACGCTGGAAGACAAATTACCGCTGGGACTTGTCTGTGGGCAGCTATGTTCATTTGTAGTCTCATCAGTACTACTAATATTACAATAAGAAAAATGTCTTTGCCCTCATGTTGCCTCCAACACACATAACATTTCTCATACTTGAATGGTTGATGTCATGTTTTTATGTTCACTGATGCATTGAATTGGGACTCATGAGTAGAATTTCAATCTGTCATAGCCTGTCCTGTGCACATTGTGGTTGCATGTGCACTGTATAAATGTTCTTTTGGACAATTTGAGCCCAGGCGGTTTGTCTATTTAAAGCACTTAATTGTGCTGTTTAAATTGTCACGAAAGATCAAGTCAAGTAACTGGGGCATAGCCTTTTCTCCCATTCACAGGACAGGACAGAATGTATATCAATCATCATGTTAATTTTGTGTTAATGTGTGGAATGCATCAGTGTTCTTTTGAGTCACTTTGACCCCGGGCTGTTTTAACTGTATGAAACCTACAAAAATATATGTTTAGGGGCTATTGAGGTAGTCAAGAAGCAATTAATAACCTAAAACTTTCTTAACTTAATTTTTTGGAGCTTTAAATCGATCCAAAAGAACACAGACACCTCTGTTGGTTATTTATTTAATAGTCTCCCTAGCTGTCACAAAAATAACGGATGATGTAGGATCCATTTCGGTGTAGTTTATCCAATCCCGATGCATCATACCATAACAATATGCACAGGACAGAACAGGCTGAAATACATCATCATGTAAATGTAATGTTTTTGTAGTGACATCTGAGTAAACTGGACAGTTAATTAAATAAAGATTATGAAAACCTTTATTTTTGGAGTGACATCTGAGTAAACTGGACAGTTAATTAAATAGATTTCAGCCTGCCCTGTCCTGTGCACATTGCTGAAATATGGATGCATCTGTGCTCTTTTGGGTCAATCTGACCCAACCAATAAAGCTCCAGACAACTTGATGTTACCAACAACGTGCATAGGACAGGCTGAAATATATAATAATATGAATATATTGTTGGGTATAATACAGAAATAACATACCATCATGCTGATTTATTGTTGTTTTAAATAGAACAGCATAAAATAAAATACCAGTAAATATACATGTTTAATTTGGTCCTGTCCTGTGCACATTGTTGTTTTACATGCAACACGTTTGTGTGTCTATTGACTACTTAAATAGCCCTGAATGTATTTTCTATGTTGTTGACCCAAATGACCCAAAAGAACACTAATGCGTGCAACAGCAATGTGCACAGGATAGGACAGGCTGAAGTATAGCCTTGTTATTTTACCCACCATTTTTTTGCTTATCCAGTTGCCACTATAACATTTGTGAAACCTATTAAATAAACAAGCAAAGACCAAATGATGTCAATCATTCATTTTGAGAATGGACGGTTGAAGTGATCATTTTCTTTCAGGGTCCTCGCTCTAGCAGGGTGCACAGTTTTGGCAAGCGAGAGCAGGCCATCAAGAGGAACCCCAATGTGCCTGTTGTAGTCCGAGGATGGCTCTACAAACAGGTATGGACATACACACTCCACTCATATGCACAGTAGACATTGTCGACTAAATGGCATTACATACTCATGTAGTCTGAAGATAAGCAATATGCGATCCACCTACAGTATATTTTCTATTTACGCTATCCTGATCCATATCATACTTGCGCCCCTTGAGCACAAAAAGCATCACGAAACGTGCAATGTAATTCTAACCCAAAAAAGAAAAGAGCAGCTATTGTATCCACACACAAGATATTGACAAGGACATGCAGCTTGTTCAGGTTGTTGTATTCCCTTTGGTTGTGCTCACCGTTATATCCCAAGAGCAGGCTGAAAAAGTCGGCCGTCAGTCCCGCTGATCTATCGAACGAGGACAAGCGATTCGTCCCACCTGCTCGTTGTCCCTGCTTGACTCTGCTTCTGCTTTCCTCTCATTGTCCCCTTGCAGGATAGCTCCGGGATGCGTCTTTGGAAGAGGAAATGGTTCGTCTTGTCCGAATTCTGCCTCTTCTACTATAAAGGTGAAAAACGTCATTCACACTTAAGTTGAGGTCTTGAATGATTAACTTGGATAAAAACATAAATTCAGCTCAATCTAATTTGGATCTTACAATGACAGTATGTAGAGGGACGGTTCTCCGAAAATATGGTCCAGCGGAATATTCAAACGTTGACCCACTTTGAGAGTCAGCATTTTTTTTTCCTTTTACAATTAATCGCCACGTTTCACTGCTTAACAATAATAATGCAAACATACTTCAGGAATAAAATGAACAGCCTTAGTGAGATTTGTGCTGTGATAAATAGCCGTCGCGACCACTTGCTCTTCATGCCAACACGGCCATGTAATGAAGATCCCAATCGCCCCTTAAAATGGATCCGTTTCAAAAACAGGTGCTGTCAATAGACCAAAATACCGTTCAATCCAGTCCTGCGTAGTCCATTAAAAAAACCGAAAACAATTGACGTTAGGCATGTTACCTTTTGTGTCCACAAGTTACCGCCGAAGATTTACGACTGTAATGTACTGTGTACTTCCACCGGAAGGACTTGAATCAGTTGAACCGTAAGTTCAATGGGTTGATTGTAAAATACGACGTTAGCGTGTGTTTGCTCGATGATGACCGAGTCAACTACGTGTCAAGCATGGTGTCCAGTTTTATTGGCGACACATGTACAACAAAATAAATAAATCGAAATTTATTTTTTTCCACACTAGTTGCATGCACTGTTTCTTTAGCGTATTCTTGAGCGTGAGTCAGCAGGATGTGAAAGGTGCTCAGTTGAGCTGCAGACATCTTGGATTTTTGCAACGTTAACAGCTACTCAGTTATGGTAGCCATCTGATCCTCAAATGCGTAACATGACAGCCATTGTTCACCATTCGGAGGGAATATTCCACAAATAATTTGTCATTTGTTTTCCAACCGCATGTGTTTGTATGAAGGTAGTGTAGCTGTTGAAGTGTAAAAATTATTCCATTTTTGATTTTACCTCGACCGTACTTTCTGAGTGTTTCTCTCTTTAACATAAACTGTGCTTGCTCCACAATGTTGCGTATCTCCATGTGTTGTTAAATTTGTCTCCCTCCTTGTCATTTTTTGGAATGTTCATACCCAAGGTGTTGCAAAATCATCCAAGCATGCCTTTATGGGCCTTTCTGTGTGCACCGGGTACAGAAAAGTATGGGAAAGCCTACTTAATTGTCTAAAATGTCTCGCTAAGATGAAGAATTACACTCGCATCCGCCTCCGTCTGCTCCCCGCGACATTTTATGTCATTTCGTCTTCATCAAGTCAATCAAACACTTTCGGACACGCCTCCTCGCCTTCAGCGAGGAAATCAATTCTTCATCTTTTTTCATCTTTTTTTTTCTTCCCTTCACCCTTTTCGCTCCTCACATCAAAAGTGTTTTTTTTTTTTTTTTGCACTCAACATGATGAAAGGCCTCCTCCCCATTCAATTATTTTACTTAAGAGCCTCAAGAACATTTTCGGCTGCCTTGACTCCAGTCTGGCCCATCTACTTCCTATCTTGCAACTGCGCGCGTGATTGTGAATGTGCAGATAAAAACACCGGCCGTCGGAGCACGACATTTGGGGAATGTCACCTCCAAGGGTCCTTGTATTATTTTTAAACAATTACCTTCCCTTTTAATCCGGCTTTTAACGGCCCCCTGGCCATCAAGCGGGCACAGGTGCTGCTGCGTCTTTCTACAGTGTTACACCATTGTTCATTACTCTCACTCTCTCACACACACACACACACACACACACACACAAACACACACACACACACACACAACCACACACCCAACCCAACCACCCACAAA